CAATGAAACTACTTCGCATCTAGTAAACATAGAGCATTTTGAATCATCTCGTTTTGGAATTTTCATCATGTTCAATTTTCAGAATTCTATTTCATTTTGTTGAGTATATATTTAACTTTTTCTTTAAAATAGACTTTATCATTTTAGATCAATAATAGCATATAATAATTTACTTGTTTAAATTGAACAAATTGAAAATTATGCGTTGTTTTAGCATTTTAATATCAGGGTTCACATACATTTAATGATAAGCTATCAATATGTCTGTTTATTGTNGTTCAATTTTCGGAATTCTATTTCATTTTGTTGAGTATATATTTAACTTTTTCTTTATAATAGACTTTATCATTTTAGATCAATAATAGCATATAATAATTTAATTGTTTAAATTGAACAAATTGAAAATTATGCGTTGTTTTTGCATTTTAATATCAGGGTTCACATACATTTAATGATAAGCTATCAATATGTCTGTTTATTGTATTTAAATAAATTAAGTATCGAATTATAGTTAGATATAGTGTTTGGAATTTGTATAATCAACCCCTTTGTTGGATTTAGGAATATGATATTTGAACATTATAGATTGAAAGATGTTAGAATTGAAGTGTTATATCGAGCCAGTATATTTCATAAGGCTCGTTATAACCTTTCGATTTCAGGATCTCCATTCAATGCATCCAACACTCAAATGATAATTTGTAAAATTATTAATTGTACATAGCCATATTGACATTAAGGTAAATGCTTATCACTGAAAATTGAATGTTTGACTACTACAATAGAAATGTTACCTAGGTCCATAAATGTCTTTAATATTTACTAGCTTTATGAATTTAAAGAGTTTCTTTCAATCTCAACCTATAACTGTTGTTTTGTAACCACTAATGCGGGTATGCATTAAATTTTTTTACAATTTACCCAAATTATATTGTAAAGACTATATTATAATAGAAGAAACAACATATCCTCTGTTTTGAAAAGAACAACATGTGTACAATTAAAATAATTGATCTACAAATTGAAGGGTTATCTCTGGCGGGTGTAAATAAAATGCTGGAAATAACCTGTCAATTTGAGGATTTTTTATGCAATCTTCTATCAACTAATTGCACTTTATGCAATTATAGACCGTCTACAGCTCTCTAAGTAATTTATTTTTTGATAATTTTTTATCAAGTTGACTGTTTATTTTTTCTAAAACCGTAAAATCAATGTGTAAATTTCTAAACATTGTGAAATTATTAATATTTGTATAATTTACATGTGCTCCTTATATTAGATTTATTCTAATTTTGTTTTTTCTTTCAGATTTTGAATATGTCAATTCATTAAAAGTGTA